CCAACGGACGGACCAAACGTATCAAAACTGGCCAGGGTCAGGGAAGGCTAGTAACAGCAGAAGCGACCGTTAACAAGTAGAAGAAGGTGCTCTGCTGAGCAGAAAAGAAACTCCTGCAAGCTCGGTGCCTGGTATGGCCAACGGTCGCCTTACCGCATGCACCTTTCCGCCCTCGCTCTCTCTTCTTCTCTCCCTGCCCTTCCCCGCTCCGTAAAAAGTCTTCCCTTATCGACCCTTCCCCCCTTAAGTATGGCGAGTCCTCCAAGCAACATTCCGCAATTTAAAAAAGACCGGTAAGCAATCGCAAACCAACATTGAGTAGGGTTGCAATACTGTTTATCATGCAGTCCAATTTCAATTATTTTCAGTTACGCTAGGATGCCGTCTCTGTGATGTGCTTCTTTCTGACCGCTGCGAGAAATTCGATTCTGTAAAAAATGGCTACTTAAGTAGTATGCATTTTTATCATTGATTTTGACTGCCTTTATAAATTTTACTTAAGTAGTATGCCTTTTTATCATTGATTTTGACTGCCTTTATAAATTCACGACTACTTAAGTTGTATGCCTTTTTATCATTGATTTTGACTGCCTTTATAAATTCAAAATATACTTTATGGAAAACATGCACGAGAAAATTATTTTTTGTACTTGTTTGATTGCAAATTATGTCTATGGTAAGCATGCACGAAAAAATCCTCAGATGTATTTATTTGGTAGCAAATTACGCCTTCTTTAAACTTTATTCTTAAAGGAAGGGTTTCCTTCGGTTTTAAAAAAGTTCCTAAATTGCCGAATTATTTTGATGCCTACCGACTGCTAGAACTGGATTCAAGTTTTACAAACTGAATGCTGTGTTTATTCTGTTTAAGGAAAAGTACTTTCGTGCCTAAGGTTTGAGGAAGTGGTTGCATATCCCTCATAGAATTTCATAATAGACATGGATCATGCTGTATATATCAGGGACAGCATTAATAATGAACACCGCACAGTTGTAAAAAACTCAAAATTAGTTTTTTTTTTAAACCGAAGGAAACACTTCCTTTAAGAATAAAAATAAAAAGAATGCGTAATTTGCTAAAAATAAGCACACGTCAGGATTGGTTCGTGTATGTTTTCCATAAAATATATTTGAATTTATAAAGGCAGTCAAAAT